TCTCTCTCTCTCTCTCTCTCTCTCCATGTTGCGACTACTGCGCCAGAGATTTGTCTCATTGACTCTGCTTGTCATCTAACCCGGATGTTGTTGTTGTTGTGGATGTTGTGGTTGTTTTGGTTGTTGTTGTTGTTGGTGGTGGTGGTGGTGGTGGTGGTGTTGATGATCTTGTTGCTGCCGTTATCGAGGTGGCAGTAGGACTGGGGGTTTCTCAAACTACGCATTCTTGTTATGTCGCGTGTCAGATTGAACCAACCGAGATCCACTATGTCATCAATATACGTGTGTGTGAGGGCTGTGTGTGTGTGTGTGTGTGTGTGTGTGTGTGTGCGTGTGTGTGCGTGTGTGTGTGTGTGTGTGTGTGTGTATGTATGTGTGCACGTATATGTGTATGTGTGTGTGCGTGTCTTTATGTGTGCGAGTGCGGGCGTATGCATGGGATTTATTATTCGAATTCAATTTTTTATTCTGTGCTAATAAGATGAAGCCTTTCCCCTTTAGTGAATAATATTATTTTGTTTCACTAACATCTCAACTGAAACGAATAAATTTTCGTCTTCCCTGTTCTATTCTTAAATATGGACAAAGTCAAAATGTAATCACTAGTCTACAATGAAAATAACACAATTTTCTTTAGAGTAGGTTACCCGGAGATTCTTCCTGACAAGACTGGTTGTCTGTGGAAGCAGAAAGAATTCTGAGCTCCCTCAACGTAGTTGTAATTTGGCTGTGCTTTTATGCTCTCCTAACAACAGTCAGAGCAGTGGGCTTTGTAGAATTATTTTAACCAGTAATGAAGAAGACAATGTATTCTAGATTTTTCTTGAAAGTTCCAGAATGTATAGACATGTATCATGAATTTTATCTTTTTATTCTCTGATAAGCTGATATCTCTCTGCTGATATCTAGAGTTTTGAATTGAGCTCTAAAAGCTTTCTCTGAACCAGCCATTATCTGTCTGTCTGTCTGTCTGTCTGTCTGTCTGTCTGTCTGTCTGTCTGTCTGTCTGTATGTCTGTCTGTCTGTCTGTCTGTCTGTCTGTCTGTCTGTCGCCAGATAAATATACACAGTGGGAGACCCACCAACAGGAATCAACCTCGCTTATCGTTTTGCGTGCTCAAATGTCGCAAATTGCATGGTATTATACTAGCGTTTTTATCTCCTCGGCTGTTCAAATCGTGTGCACACTCTCCTAACACACAGAGAAAGGTATATATTACTTTTTACTAGAAGAAAATACATTTTCAATGTAGGAATCGTAGGCCTACTCTTGATTTGTGCATGTAAAGAGAAAAGCCAGCGCACACCAACGTCACAGACACCGGTACTCGACTTTTGACAGATTATTCTGCTGCGCTGAAAGTAAAGTATAGCCTCTCCTTTCGATGTATTTGATTTAGTGCGCAACAAATTGGGGTCACGGTGGTGTTGCAAAATCTGAAAACAGCGAACAGGGAGGGATCGTCATGCTGCGCGAGAACATGGCAGTTAAACTTTACGTTTTCGCCCTTGCTCCCAGGTCTGCATACCCAGAAACACGGGATGACCGGGAACTTCATGTACGACTACCGGAGCAAGGGCAAGTTCATGCTGCTGACCACAGAGGAAGGGAAACTGGAGAAGTGGTGGGACGGTGGCGAGCCGCTGTGGATCACAGCTGTCAAACAGGTACGTGTCGAAACTGTCGAAGACGGCCATCCATTTGTCGAGAGGAAAGTAGCCCTCTTAGACGAGTGGCCGTTTTAGACGGGTGGTCGTCTTAGACAGGTGGTCGTCTTGGACATGTGGTCGTCTTATATAGAGACATTATAATGTTGTTGTTGTTTTGTGTTTTTTTTAACAATAAGGGGGAATGGGAAGTGGCCGTTTGGACAGGTGATTGTCTTACGCAGGTGGCCATTAGAGCAGGTTTGATTGTATTTGCTTACTTTCTTGAGTTTATGTAAAGAAAACAACATTGTGGCATGGGTAGAATTAAATTCTATTCATCTACATCCCATGTCTGGAGCAGACATTGACGATCATGGTACCCCATTTGATCCTGTTGTCAGTGCCCCTGATCAGCTCAGTTTTTCTTGTGTTATTTGTCATAAAGTTCTTCAGACTATCTGTTCTTGCTGTTCTCGGTCTTCCTCTGTTCTTCTTTCCTTCTATCTTGCCACGTAGTAGCCGTTTCTTAATTATGTGTTCTCTTATGTATTCATGTGTTCTCTTCATGTAGACTAAAATCGCAATTGTTCTTACAGTCATAACACAATTGTCTCAAACTGTTTTTTTCTTTTCCTTTCTTTGTTTTTGTTTTGTTTCTTTTTGTCAGGATTTTTAGTAACGGTGTTGATCAAAATGCCTGCAACCTGTTTCGTATCCTTAATATTGTTTCGTGATAATTGTGATTTTTTCATTTTTTGCCCAGAAATTTTAAGATTAACTGGTAAGTAGCCTACTGGGTTGTTCGTGTGTGTGTATATATATATATATATGTGTGTGTGTATGTATGTGTATGTGTGTTTGTGTGTTTGTGTGTGTGTGTGTGTGTGTGTGTGTGTGTGTGTGTGTGTGTGTGTGTGTCAGTTTTCTTAAAACAACAAAAAACTACATTAATAAGCCGATGTCTGTGGTGTAGTAGTTTGGTACATCGCTGTCACACACAGAAAACAGAAATCAATTCCCGTGTGAGGAGAATTTGTATCTCGATCTTTCCGCTTGGACTTTTTATCCCTCTATGTTGGCTCTGACGGGCAATTTCGAAGCCCGGCTTCTAAATGATCCAAACTGGGTGGATGGGGACTTAAAGAACATCTACATTATAAAAGAAAACTTAATCAATGGTCTTACAACCGAAATGATGACTTAGTGATGTTCTATTTAGTGCAAAATGAAAGACTACACAGACTGGGAGAGACAAAGAGGTAATGTAAAGATACTAGTATTACAAGCAGAGCGCTCCAACAGTCCACCTTTTTTTCCTTACCTTGGGCTGATACTTGTCAACATAATATTGTCTTGTTGATTTCTGATTGATGACGAAAGGCAACATGCCATGTTTGGTTTTTTTCTGACATGAATTACTCTGGGAAGTGTGTTTGTTCTTTCTGAGGTAATCGGTCCAATGTTTACCACTAATCACTTTTAGACGACATAGTATTTTACGTGCTTAACCTTGGCATAGGTCCGATTCCTCTGGACAGTGGTAATGAAAACTTTGTGATGATGATGATGATGATGATGATTGGGATTTTTTTAAGCACCATCATGAAAGACTTGCACGTTAAAAGAATACACAGCGGTC